AGGAATATGCCGTCAATATACACAGGTAATCGGACCAATACGTTTGACCATTTTGTTTATTTACATCTAATATTTAAATCAATATCATTTTACGAATATGTGCTATATTTGAAAGAATTTATGTAAGAGATAAGCAGTTTTGAAATAGAGAAAAATAAATGTCAAAAATGGTAAAAATTGCAGGCTTGATGTCATTCTGCCTGTTTATACTTGTATGCCTATCGCAAACGGGACCCTGAATGTGAATGCGTTGCAATCATAAACGAAAACACGTATCTTATATCATGTCGTACCAGGACATGTCTATGTAATGTTTGTTTCTGTCCTGGTTACTTGTTTCTTATTGCTAAAGAAGGAAAATGGCAATTCTTTTGAAAAATGAAATAAAGATTTAATACCGCTCTAGCTTGAGCTAGGAGCCGTATTGTAATTTCCGTTTTGCCCTCAACAAAAGACTCAATAAAACCGAGGCTGCAATTTCCATTTACGTTTTTGTGAATAATGCATGCGAAAAAAATCGGGATTTTTTAAAAATATTATTACTAGCATATTAATATAAAAATCTTACATTGACTCATAAGTTCACCTTAACAAACATATAACCCTTTAATTATATGTATTTCAGCATGATAAAAATGTCATAAAACCAAACATTCTGTTATTGCATATGAAGAAAGAATGCATGCATGTACGGATGGTGTCAGAGGATACACCTTTTGAAGTCTGTCTGGACACATTAAGCTTACATTTGGCCGACGGAAGCCATATAAACAAATGCTTAGAGGAGGAAACAAATGTTTAACAGCCCTTTATTGAATTGTTATAATAATGATTCAACATTCATCAGAGTGTTATTAATGTATGTGATTATGATGTTATCAGTTTCAGTGTTTAATAACAAAGATATTTTTATCATTTTTAAAACGCACACACCTAATAGAATGAAAACTTAACAAGAAGAATGTAAAAATGTGTGAAAATGGCCACCGTGTTAATTTGTGAAACAAGAAATAAGACAACAACGTTCTCACAAACCGAAAATGGTACTTCAAACTTGCACAAGGTTTAATATTAATTTTCAAATATTTGTATTTCAAAATAAAAAAAAACCTAAATTACTTTTTTGACATCATGCTTTTGTGTTAAAGACTATTTTAAAGTGACATTATTTATTTAATTGATTTTTAATTCGTTTTCTTCTTCACTTCTCTATTTCTTTATAATCAATAACCCAAGTGGCTCATGGCGAATTCTGTAAATGCCCTTCAGAATATATCTATAATTTTCACTTGATCAAAAGAGTGCACGCAGTTTTTGTATTTAATCCTAGCCGTTTGTATTATTAACTTTTGCTCGATGACCATAATAATAGTCAATCTTTAGAAATGTAAATTTAATTATTCTGTATTTGACAATGTAAATAATGAACATAATGCCACTTAAATTCATTTTATTTGTTGTTTAATGTTTTAAACATCATAACGTTGTATACAAGATAAATGCTAAACAATTCAATTAAATGTTAATGTATTTATTTTATATTGATAATGTTGAATGTTACAAGGTGTGAATTGCATATTTAATCTTTTCTTACGAGTCAGAATTTTTGCAAAAGGTCTTTAATATCTGTAGAATAATCTTCCAACTTCTTTTTGCACAGTCATAGGTTGAAGCAGTTAAATAAAAAAATTAAATTGCAAGCCCTAGTACCAAAATATAATTTTATCTAAATGTCATTTATCTCTGTGGTGTATTTCAACACTGAAAATCAATATGTATTTTTAAATATTGAAAAGCAAAGACATGTTTAGTATTAAGTGGCATGCACTTGATTTTTCATAAACCTGTTTTACGTACAATATATGTTTTTTTTAAATTTAATGTGTTTATGTGTTGTATAGTAGTCGACTGCTACGATTGTAAATAAATAAAGGTTTGAAGTTAAAACCATCATAGTTTTTTCTGAACAAACAGTGTCGCAACTTTGTAAAGAAATAGTTTAATCATAAAATTGCTACTTGTGGTACTACACGTACTAAAGCTCCAGATTTACCAGCAAACAAGGATTTTCATCTGTTTGTGTCGTATTGCAGTGAAGATACAGATCAGGTTAGGATAGTTGTTGACAATCTTGAGAAAATGGATATAAGATGTTATTATAGTGACCGGGATTTCATACCAGGCGAACAAATAATTGAAAACACAAATGATGAAATGAAAAGACGTGCCGGTATGCTGTTAGTGCTCACTGAAGGATTCAATATAAGTAACTTTTGTAAATATGAATTAACTCAAGCACTTCACTTAAATATCGATGAGAATTTCTTGTTGGTACCTCTTAAACTAGAGCCATGCGTGGTACCACCCAATATCAGTACAACAACGAGTTATATTGATGCTGAAGATATACCGGTAGGCCAAGTTCATGAAAAGATATTAAAGGCGTTGGTTGACAGAGGTAATTACCATATTCAACTATTTGCTTTAAATATTTGATTACGGGTTTATAAAAATTTACACGTATATGAATTACCACACAGTCATATCAATTAAACGTAACTTTATGTTAATACTAACATACAAAGTTGTATTTTCCAAACGAGCTAGCTGTCTATATAGTCCTATATTAATGTTCACATAAATATTGCACTTGCGTCGCTGGAAATATAAAGTTGAAACAAATCACAATGACCTATAATATTACTTGCTCCATACGTTTTATTTCATTCTTTTAGAAATAAAGAAAGAAGAAGCAGGAAAGAATGTGTTTAATAAAACTCCAAACTAAAGATATAGAACATAGGCCTGAGTGATTTATTACAAAGCATTTGAACGAAAAACAGTGCAATATTATAGTAACATGCAGGAAAAGTTAATATATACATGTATCCATTCTCACATACAAGTATTAAAGAAAAATGGATACGTTGAACTACATTGAGCGTGGAAGTGATTTCATGTCGTCATTTAGTTTATTGACGTTTTTTTCTGACATCATACGACATTTAAGCATTCCGTTTTAAAAAATAATATATATCGTGTAATAATGCTGTTGACTGCCCTATCTGTTTGACTGTGAGTAGTATTAAGCATGTTAGGAGTTATGTCTAAATAAATGTCAAGTAACAATTGAATATCATTTGAGAATGTCTAAACGTGGGAGTGATATATAAAAATGTTAAATCTAAGTGTCAATGCCTTAATTGTAAGTATAAATATTTAAGATTGTAGAATATTTGAAATAATATCCAAATGTATTTTAACCACAATGGTAAGGTCTCGGACGTTATACAACTTTTTATCCGTTGTGTTTATAAGGTGACTAATGTAATACGGTTCTAGCTAGATCTGCGTTTTAACATTAAAAGATATCGTAGTGAGTTAAAACTGTTGTAGTGAGTTGTAACCTAAATACATGCGATTTCAAAAATTTCTCGGAACAAATGCAGTAAATCATTGAAATTGTTACAAATTTGTAACTGACATTTGAGTCTGAGTATTATAAAAAGCCAAAAAGCTTTTGATTTATTCATATCACGATGATACGAATGTCTTATATTTAAGAACATAATGAATTTTATATACTTTGTAAATTTCAGAGTTGAATGGAGTAACTGCTGAAATCGAGCTGAAGCCAAACAAAAGAAACATGTTTACATTTGCCAGATACAGGCTTGAAAATAACTCGGAGGCCGCTTATAAATTTGATGTAGGCTATTTTTGCATGATTTTCATTCACAAACTTTTGAGATGCTCTCAAATTGTCTATGGATTCATCTTCTTAACTGATAAATGCGTAAGCTATGTGCATATTTCAGCACTGACATATAAGTATGTAAACTATTCTGCAGTTAAATGATTAAACTACGATAATTGAATTGCTAAATCACCATGTTATGATTGTAATATATTAATTATTAATATAATAATGTATCACGGAAAATACATAACAATTAAACCATCTATTTAGACCAACATGAGTTATAAACCAAAGTGGTAAAATTGCGGAGTGACTAAAGAAAAACATTTTATATTATTCATATTTTGTCAATAAACATAAGCTAAGGAATCGTTATCCAATATGTTACATTTAAGATTGCTTTTGACTGATAGAAATTGTATAATAATTGGTGGGTGCATTTAGTTCCAACATATCATGAACATATAAAGAGATTAATAATTGCAGAATTTCTTTCAATTGTATTTATTGAAAAAAATTAACTGAGTGAACATGAATTAGGTTTGTGTATACATTCAAATGATAATTCCTTTTATTTACATTGGACAGAATTAGTAATTGTTAACACACTTCAAAAGTAAAATGTTTCATGATATTATTGTCTACAACAGTTGTATTTTTGTACCTAAGGTGCAAGACAATGAGTGGGAAAAGATTGAGGAAATGGTAAACAAATCACATCTTGTTAAATACAAGCACATCTACGGACATTCTTCTTCCATTTGCTGTAGTCTTGCTATAGTTGTATTTCTCTTAATTCTACTGAGCATGATCATCTTCTTAGTTGTGTTGTTGGCGACTTCAACAGAAGCGCCTCAAAAATCCATCACGCCAGCAGGAATAGTACTTGCAGTGTTAGTTCCAGCTCCAATATTGCTGTGGATTGGCAGTTATTGCATTTACTTTAAAAAGTTTGAAAAAGGAGTAATTTACAACAAGTTTTCTCAGACAATTACGTTAACAACTTCATAACTCAGGTATTTTTATGTTTATTTTTTCTTTTTTACTTTTATTTAGATAATTCTCAATTCTTACAACTGTCACAAAATTCCTTACAATCATGGAAATAAATATGTCATGTTTTGTTTATAATTCTCTCAATTTTCTCTAGAATTCTTAATTTTCATTTGTCAGTACATGTACCACAATACATGACTTGCGAACATTTTGAACATTATCAATGTCCTGAAGTTTTATCACATGTTTAATTTTCCATTTTCGAAAGAAATGTTTATATTTTGTTATTGTTTTACTACAATAGGAAAGGCGACGACTTAACAAAAAACTTTGGGATGACATTACCTTGGATTCTGATGATGTGCACAAACGCTTTGTTTTCTTTGATGACGATGTATCCTTTTTTAAGATCTTAGACATTTTACTAACTTGGCTGGTAAAGAAATTCTTTAAAGTATGGAACATATTCTTACATTTACATTTAAACCAGTTTTATTTCATGCTTTTCAGTGTTTTACTGTAATATATCAGATGATTATATTCTGATAAACCACAAGTGAAATTTATAAAATATATTTTTCACTGTAGCCGGACTATATCTGAATGCGGATGTAAAGAATATCATAACTACATGAAATTACAGGCAAAAATAAATGCCGTCATACGTCGTAAATTTTGCTTCTGTAGGTAAAGAAAGAAAGTGGATGTAATCATACATCATGTTAAAAATGTAACAAACTTAGAGAAAATTTTAACAGAACTATATTTCAAATTGGATGATGTGACGTCATGATGTGATGACGTCATAAAGGAGAGTGCACGACGTTACGCAGCAAAATCAGTAAAACAATACTTAAAATATAATGAGAAGCATGAAATAAAAAGAAAATTCATTTGTTTAAGATTGAAATATATTTCATTCGTGAACACCAGCTATTATATGTTCACTCGTGGCTACTGCTGTCACTAAATGAAATATATTTCAATCTTACATGCAAAACAAACAAATATCCTCTTTTTATTTTCCTTGATTTTAATTGCAGTCATTGTGTTTTATGCAGTTCAATTGGAGACCATGCAAGGTAAAAAGAAATACATGCTTTAAGAAATCATATTTGTAATCAATTTATAACACTACTACAAATGTTCGCAATGATTTTCATTTATAAATTATTCATCCAAATTTGCATAATTTATTTTAATTTGTCTCATTTTTAGAAAATTCAGTTTAAAGGTTTTTTTACTGTAAACTATTTTTAATCGTGTCAGAGATATTAAAGTATTAGACTGTAAATTCTTTTTAACCGTGTCCGAGGGGTGAGAGTCGATGGCTTCTAATCCAGTTACCTCTCTGGCGAGGGTTCGATCCCCTGGAGAAACTTTGGTAGTTTAGCACGGAGGAAGGTAGTCTAGTACTGGTGTTACTCTCCAGGAACGATGGTTAGGAAACTACCCGCCTATATGACTGAAATACTGTTGGAAAAAGGCGTAAAATGAAACAAACAAATTTAACCGTGTCAAGGATATAAAAGTATAAGAACCAAATTCAAAATGCAGTCCCAGTCAACAATGTGTTATTTCGTGAACTGGGTACGCTAAATGTTTACGGATTGATTATCTTTAATGTTATCGGAATTTGATGTTGATTGTGTTGCAGTTTTAATAAAAAACTTAATTTACTTGGGAACCAGAAAACCTATTAAGATATGATTACAATAAAAGAAAAAGTATGACAAAAGCAATACTTATTTGCAGGACCTGTTCATCAAAAAGCTTGCAAAGATACCACGTTTAATCAAGTATATCCAGACAGATGAATCGCATGAGGTAAAGAACAGCTAGATAAGAGGCGATAAATTGCCTTCATGTGTCGTAAACAATAATACATACAGAATAATCGGGGTTTTTTTGTTATTGTCTTTTTTTTGTCTTTTTTTTTGGGCGGGGGGGGGTATTTTTTTATTTATTTTTATTTCTTTTAAATTTACTCATTTTATTTTTATTATAAAAAGTCAAATTATTGTGTTCATGTTTCATTTAGATGCTACAATATGTGTTTTTGTAAACAACGCATATGAATTGTTCGACTTGCCAGAATATGAACTATTCCACCTGATAGCCACTATGAAGGTTGTGTTGGAATGCACACTAGAGTAGCTTTCAAAGTGCATGATTGCACATGGAACTGTGTTCTCCGCTCTCCTAATGGAATCATCTTGTATATCCAGTAACGCAGGAATGTGTAAATAACGCTGGAATTGTGCAAAAGTAATGTAGAATTGCGCAATTTAGTGGCTAAAACGAGCACCGCAATAAGAAAATGAACCAATATTTTTTATTGCACACCAACTTGGAAGAAATGAGTAAGCGCATACGATGGCTGAGAACCTCATCAAAAATATTTCCATGAAAATGTTTATTTTTCAAAATCATTCGTGAAAATGACAACCTGACTAGCGTATTGATGGCGATTTTTAGTCTCGTTGATATCTTTAAATACAATAACGTACACATTACTTTATGATCTTTTGTATTCGGTATACCTGAGACATATTCCAATTTACTCGTGTCATATAATACGTAATGTAGCAGATAAAACGTAATTGAGACCATGTTTACGATGTAACGCCGAATTCGTGAATGAAGCACTGAAGCAACGGAGGTTATCTCATTAAAAGCCGCTAAATCCTATTTTACCAGTTTCCTTTTATTGTTATACGACAAGTAGTTTGTAGTTTGACAAATGTCTTAGGTATACAGAATATGAAAAATTAGTTTTAAATGTACATATTTATTTGACGAAATACAAACTCACATTCAAAATAGTAATCAGGTTGTCTTTCTCGCGAATGATCTAAACAAGTAAACATATTACTAACAAAAAAAATGTAATGCTGGTTAAAGTATAACGTCGTAGCAGCCGTATGCGCTTATTCATTTCTTAAAAAAAAATTAAGAATAAAATAATTATTTTGGTGTTTTATTCGTTTTGGCGATAGCGATGCACAGATTCGGCGTTCCTTTACCTTAATTGCACATTCCAGCGTTACTGGATATGCACGGTGAGAATGTTTCTCGGGGTAATAAAAATAGAGGATATTGAATGAGTGTAGTTTAATGCTAAATTTATTGAACGAGTTCAATAAATTTAGTATTGAATCTACACGAATATAATATTCTATTTTTCACATAATATAAAAAAAGAACAATAAACTGTAAAAATGAGTAATTTTTCAACGACGCGCCTATAGTGTAACGCGTTATTAGCGCGCTTTAACGCTATATTTCTATATAGCGCAAATGACGTCACGTCAAAGTGTTATTACACTAGGGTAATATCGTTTTTATTAAATGGCTTTATTACACTCCTGCGCCGCGGTTTATGTGATAATATGTTAAAAAATATCCAAATATCGCCTTCCACCAGTTTTTGACTACTTTTTCCATGTAATTAAAATTTGACAAAATATGCATATATTTTTTAGTCTTAAAGTTTCTTTACGTAATCCAAGTTGCAACATAGTTAATACGACTAATGACAGACAAATCATGAATCTAGTTATTTCATCTTTATATTTTAATTTGCAGGACTACACAGACAGGGTCTTTAGAACGTTTCTGCGATACAACATACATAAACTTAAAGAAAAATCAACTGTTAGACACAGAAATATATCAAACGCTAAGTGCATCTGTCTTCTAGCAGAGGAATGGATTCTTGAAGAAAAATAGATTATTAATAATATAAAAATAATTGGTGATATATTACATATGCTTTCCTTGTTTATGATGTAATTTAGCAATTATCTATATTATATAAATATATTATATTTGAAATGTGTGATTGAAGTAAACTATTGTTTAAATATAATAAATATGGGATTGCCTCTCGTTATGTATTTTATCATTAATGTGTTAATATTTATATCTTTAGAAAATATTCTACATGTTTGCACGTCTGTTTGTACTTGTTTGTTCTAAAGATCAAAAATTAACATTTTATTTTCGAGTTTGAACCCAAGAAGAAACCTTTAAAATGTATCCATACTAAACACAGTCATGCATGCTGTTCATGCAAAATAAGAATTAAGTATATTCTTCCATTACCCCCTTATTCCGTTTTGTGCCCTACCTCACCCCCTTCCCTATCCTTCATTTTTACCTTACACCCCTTGTCCCTTTAATTCCCGTATTGGCCCCATTTAGTTCTTATCATTTTTCTAATTACGTATCCCCTTCCTTTTTTACGACCGTTGTATCTCCTTATTTTTAGTTCAATGCCTTTTGGGTATCCTGTTGGTGTGACGGGATTTTGTCGCGGGCTGTGTTCTGTCAACGTTGCTTTGTCTTGTTGATCTTTATATCATTTTTTTTAAGATTTCAATACCTATTTTAGGACTGTGCAATATTCACGAGAAATACTTACAACTACCAAAAGAGGGGAGGTAATTATTTCATAGTGCCTATAATCAGTCAGTCTATTTGTCTCCCCGGATTTTTTTTCTCACAGTCTGGCAATGATATGTTTCAAACAACTACATGTGTACACAATTTAATTGTCTCCAATGATAAGTTAAAGTAGAAATGCTAAAATTTGAGTAACACAAAGATATGGTGTTACGTTATCTATTATTAATGTCAAGAGATGCAGTTTAGCATCTTTGCAATCACATATACAATAGTATATAAATAACACATGGGTTTGTGGGTAACAGTAAAATATCATCCCGAGGAAAATACTGTTACCCGAGGCGTAGCCGAGGGTAACAGTATTTATACGAGGGATGATATTTTTACTGTTAACCACAAACCCATGTGTTATTTATTTTATTACCCCGAACAAATACTGTGATGATCTGACTTTGTCAACTAAATCTAACTGTAACAAAAATAAACCAAGAGAAGCAAAATAGCAAAATAAACTGTCCTTACCGTGCAAGTTTTAAGTGTACTGTAGGCCTACTTGAGAAGCTGTTTTTCTTTTATTCTTTAGGCAAGTGATGATATCTACCAGTCATAAACATAAAATAAGCTGTGTTTTATTTAGGAAACAAAACACTAACCCATTTATAAGGTTATGATCTGTGAAATCTGAGCCTTCTGCATCCAGAATATTCTTCGCATGGTTTTTGAAAAAGTGTATTTACAAAATAACGATGATATCCTACAGGTGTATGTCCACCAACTCTATCTGTAACGTTTCACTGGTTAAAATTGTTAAATAATCCTTTGTTGCATGCATGTTCCAGTTTGACACAAAATTATTCACATTACAATTACTTCCGTTGAAAACGGATGTTTCCTTTTGACTATTCTAAAAAAAGATATTTTATACGCGAAAGGAACTCTAGGGTGCAAAGTACTAAATTTTATAAGAGTAATAGTTACTTCGGCGATGCCCTATCGTCGAAAATAAGAATGAATCGAGAAAAAAATGGCGGCCATTTTATTTCATTTTATTTAGAAAATAGACCACGTGACCAGATTTTATACTGTTAAAAATACTGTTACCTATGTAAAAGTACAAAATTCTTAGTCACGTGGTACACTTGCATTAACAGTAAGAATAACACCCAGAGGCCTATGGGAAATTAACATTACGAAAAAAGTGAGGGGTAATAAAATATATTATCCATTTTCGTTATACTGCTATGCTCGTTCCGTGATCTAAACTACCCATCATTGAATTTGTGGCAAACGTTCCAAAAAAAGTAAGTTCGAGAGACTAAAGAAGGCATATTATGTAACCATTTCGCTGTTTTATGTCTGAACTGCAAGCGATATGTTGTTACAGAATGCATTAATGAAATTTACTGTTTAACGCCGCATGTATTAATTTTGTTAATAGTTTGATAATGAAAGAGAAAACAGGTTTTAATTTGACCTAAACAACTGCTCGTCGAAAGTCTAACATTTTATGAATACTTTTCCTTGTTACAATTACAGTTTTACCTATTAGGGATTATTCCTAGGTACAATATCGAGTGACTGTGTTTTTTCTACACATATATGGCGAAATAAAATCCTTTAAAATGATCACTTTCAGGTTTAAATGGGTACGATATAGGCACTGTTACAATAGTGACCCCTATGGCTTTAATTTTGTTAAAATCATAGTTACGTAACACACATGTATAGACAAAGTAAATGTACAGTTATGAAATAGAGTGAAATAAGAATCCCTAAAGAAAGCCCAACGCGGCAAAATTGAAAATGTTGCAGGCTCGGTTTAATTGAGCCTGTTCATGGACGGTACTGTCAAGTGCAAACTACCGTCCACTTAAAAACAGCAACGCGTTCCGTGATTATATCTTTGTTATATGATATAATAATTCTCGGGGTATAACTTGATCACGAAACAATTAAAGGTGATGTCAAAGTTAAATTAATAACATTTATATATATTAATTATGTAAAACATGCAGAAGTCAATTAAAATTACCTAGTATTTCTCGCTTTTTACATTTAAATAACTTCATGTGATCTGCTTCAGTAAACTATATTAAAGTCATGAAAACTTTTCACATTTTCAATTTTGTAGATTTGGGCGTTGTTTAGGGATTCCATTTTTTATTCAGAAATTAATATACATGTACATCAAAGAAACTGCAAGCGGATTAATAGATTTATTATGCTCCGATTTGATATTTAAAGATACTGATAATTCAAATGTAATATTTTTAAGTATAAAATAAGCATGTTTTGAGTAGAAAGAGAGAGTTGAGTAGAAAAAGAGGTTGCATGTTACATCAACAAAACAATATACCTGGATTCTAAATAAAGTTAGTTGTAAGTAACTTAATCTGAATGCTATAAACATATAGGCATATACGCCCTAATGATCATTAAAGTACTTTTTCTATTTTTCATTACTTTAACTGCAACGTTTGTTTGCAATCGGAGAGATATTCTTCGACATTAATTTGTTTTGACATATGTACCTAATCACCTTCATAGCTTTCTGCTTTCAGTTGGCAATACAAAATAAACTTTATGTTCTAAATATGACAGCCATGTCAAGAATAGTGATGTGTATGATGGGCAAATCAAAATTATGACTAGACAGAGGTTGTTGTCAGGTTAACTATCTTTGTGAACTTTTTTACTTTTAAGATCGCCATTCCTTTAAGCAAATATTGTTATGGCCATGTGGATAACATACTTACTGGAGTCAAGAAGGAAGCAAATTATCAGTTGTTTTATTTCTAATAATCTATGAAGAATGAACAGTTCAAGTCATAATCATGAACTTACCTGCAAACTTCACATAGAATGTGCATGATACAATTGAGCTGCTGCAAAGCAAAACTATCAACATATATTCGGCTCTGTAATAAATTATTACACATGTATATATAAACAAAATATTGTGCTGAACATACATATCTGTTTTTCAAACAAAGTGTTAAATGAACTACAAATTTAATATAATTACATTAGAGATGCATTATACTATACCAGTGGCATTCTGACACATGTCCATGAACGAAAAGTCGAGATTTTAACAACTAAAACAACGTGGGCTCGGAGCGAACAATAGCACGCTTATTGGCGCCCTATGACAATACATATTTCTCTCCGCGTCCCCGCCGTGTTACAATTATATCTCGACTTTTCGCACCGCGCCCCACTTGTAAGCATGTTTTTGCTCCGTGCCCCCCGCCATTGTAATTTTTAGCTTGATGGGGTTGCGGGCGAAAACACGAAATGACACACATCAGCCACATAGATGATAATATAAAAATGATTTAACTTTATTTCGTTAACGTTTTGTATCAATGCACGATATAACATATTCACAACAATATTGCATTTCACATTTTTAAAGAATGTTTTTTCATATTCATAATGTATGAAAGCTTAACCATTTTGAACCAAAGCAAAAGGGAAATAAGTTGTATAATTGTAGAATTGTTACCCATATTATATAGATATTAGCTTGCCTGAAGTATCCTCACGTCTGATAACGAATGTAATAAAATGCATATAAAACAAACATCTGTTGATAATACCTATTTACAGGTAACTATTGTAACAGTTCTACAGATTGTGAGCATACAAAAGCCTTAAGCAAATCCGATTGGTTGTAATCTTTAATATCATCTCCCAACACCAAATCTTTATAATTCAGATTTTGTACTCAAAATCACATTCTCTAATACAGAACAAATAAAGTTGCTCTTTTCATAAGAAAAAAACTGCCATTTTTTTAACGACACTATATATTCATATTGTGACGACCTATGTGTGTAGGTTTAAGAACATGACATATTAACTTTGTGTGAAGTCAAAACATGTTTATTTCATATTTACAAAAAGACTTCGTAGTAATTATCAATATTTTCTGATATCAAATTTGAGCATCTTTAACAAAATTATTGCAAATATGATGAACAAATTTACGTAACAATTTTGTTAAGAAATTTATCATATCAGCACACATTTATTGTTTTATAATTTCAAATTTAAACATTGATCAATTAATTGGCTGCCCTACGTTAATAGCAAATGTAACTAACACAACATTTTTTGGATTGAGCAGAATTTATTTGTTTATGCGTTTTAATAGAAATATAGCCTTTACTTGAAAAGTTAAATATTCAAATATTCAACAAAGGGCGAAATGTTCACAATTCAAATAAATTGAAAATCCTACGCTGACTACATAGGATCCGAACATGTTCACAAAATACAGATGACTACGCCGTAAGTGTTTTCGATCATTTAATGAATGTATGATGAACAACATTTATTATGGATTTGAAATACATGATAATACTAAGATGAATAACTGTGATCATTTGTGATCATT